GCTGTTGCTGTTGTTGTTGTTGTTGTTGTTGTTGTTGTTGTTGTTGTTGTTGTTGTTGTTGTTGTTGTTGTTGTTGTTGTTGTTGTTGTTGGTGTTGTTGTTTGTGTTATTGTTGTTGTTTGTTGTTGTTGTTGTTGTGCTGCTGCTGCTGCTGCTGCTGTTGTTGTTGTTGTTGTTGTTGTTGTTGTTGTTGTTGTTGTTGTTGTTGTTGTTGTTGTCGTCGTCGTCGTCGTCGTCGTCGTCGTCGTCGTCGTCGTCGTCGTCGTTGTCGTCGTCGTCGTCGTCGTCGTCGTCGGCGTTGTCGTCGTCGTCGTCGTCGTCGTCGTCGGGCGGGCGCGGAGCCTCGGGCTGGGTGCCGTGCTGCCTTCGCCCTCCAGCTCCTCCGCATCCACCTCCCCCTCCTCCATCCCCTTCTCCTCCTCCTCCTCCTAAGCCGCTGGGTAGAGGTTCGGATTTTGAGCGACCGAACCTCATGTACATTTGTACACCAGCGCCTGAACAGCCCCCCCCTTCGCAGGCCTGCTCGGCAAGGGGGCCTGGGGGGCTCCCAGCGTCGTCGAAGCAGGGGCAGGAGACACATCGCGGCTACATATCCGATACTGTACCTTCTGTTAGCATGATGTTGAATTGCACTGTGCCGTCTACTTGTGTGACCCCTGCAATGAAGCGTCGAATGCTCATCCAAAGAATCTATGCAACAATTTAGCAAACAAGAAGCTTACGTATAATGACAGAGATTATTACCAGCGAGTCGCCCGGGCTGGGCTTTCTGGAATCGGGAGGAGATGGCATGTACTCGTACGGGGCACGCTCTATCACACAACCCCCAGGGCTAGCGTTAGAAACGACACTAAATGAGGATGCGCCGCCTGGACTTGAGAGTGATGGACATGTCGCAACGGAAGCAGAACGAGGCAGCTCGGATTCCTCCAGCAGAACGAGACAGCTCGGATTCCTACAGTTCGTGTGTGCACCGCCGCAAGCAAACGTGTGCAATAGCGAGGCACCGTACAAATTTATGGATCAATTTTTGGAGGGTGTGGACAGTCACTTGGAAGGTTTGGACACGATTGCTAGACGGTCACAAGCAACCACAGAGACAGCGCTACATGCAAAACTCGCAGAGAGCCAAGTCGTCGACGGGGTTTTTGAAGCATTGCATCTCAATAAAGAGAATTGACAGCGGAAGCAGTGCACCACAAACTTGGCAAACTTGGAGCAAGGATCTCAAATAAATAATCCTTTTGGCACTGGAGACATGGGTCGAAGTTGGGGCTGCCAGGAAATGCGGCGACATGTTTGAATTGCGGATTGCGGATATTTCTCCATATTTCTTACACACGGCTCGCGCTCGCACTTGCTTGTGGTGTTGTTGCCCTTTTGAGTACACGGTTCATAAGAGCGCTGAGTGGCTACGCTCAGCACCCAATGGGGACTGCGGCTGTCGCGTATCCGCGGCTTCCCCCCCGTCCCTTCTCTCCCCCCCCCTTGGTTGGGGGCCTTGGTTCCTGGCTTCGGCTGGCTCCTTCGGCTCCTCTCCCCTTCCCCCCCCCGCTCGACGCGCGCTTTCGCACTTTCAGGGGGTGGTGGATCGATTCGGAAGGTGCGGAGGCTGCGAGAGGCCCTCAGCAGACGGCGCTGGCTCGGAGGATGGGTGGGTTGATGTGGTTGCGAGGAGGAGGAGGAGGAGGAGGAGGAGGAGGAGGAGGAGGAGGAGGAGGAGGAGGAGGAGGAGGAGGAGGAGGAGGAGGAGGAGGAGGAGAGGAGGAGGAGGAGGAGGAGGAGGAGTCGGCGCCCGATCCCAACCTGCCCAGAATGTCGAACGTCTCCCAAGGGGGGGGGTGCACAGCCATGCAGAAGCGGTAGCCGCCCGCCACCTGCAATGAGCGGAGTCCCCAGAGTCGGAGGCGCGCCCGAGAGGCGCTGCTGCCGCGGGGGCCTCGTGGCCCCGTGCCCGCCGACAAACCCGTCGCAAACAAACGATCTCTGTTCTTTGCCCGCTTTGCCAACGGGAGCCAGAGGTAGTATTTCATCATGTGTGGATGTGCTAGCAAGGTCGAGCACCCCATATCTCCTATGAGTGGCCAGTTCAGTCCGCGGGCGTACTCTCGGGGCGAGGTGGAGGAGTGTTTCCGGGCCCCGGGCCTGCTGCCTCGTGAATGGGTTGCAGTTTTGCCGCCGCCGCCCGAAGAGAGCCGGACCTGCGCAGACCACATTTTCGCAGGTTTCGGGGAGGGGGCAGCTGCGACCCTCCCTCCTCGTTTCTGGAGGTGCCTGCGGAGGTCAGGAGACGCACCGCCCTCAGCTTCGCAGGATCGGGATTGGATGTGCCGCCTGCCGTCACCTCGACCCCTCCATGGACCTTTCCGTGGGCATTTGTGGGCCCCTCCCAGACCTCTGACAGACGGTTGTGGGAGGCGAACTGCATTGTCTTGGGGCATGCCTTTGTGAGAGTCTCGGAGACGTCGTATACGTGACGGACAATTCGACCGTGAGTGACGGTTGGCACGAGGAGAGGTGGAAACGACCGTCGGGCAAGGATGCAGATCTGTGGTGGAGGATCGGCGTTGTTCTCGGTCTGAAAGGTGAGCGTTTGAGGTGCGTAGTTCTTTTCGTTCACTTTCGTTCCGATGCCGCCTGCCTGGCGGCTTCTCCCTTCCCCCTGCTCCTTCTCGGCAATAGCGTTGCAGGCCTTTTCGCAGCAGCTGGCGCACAGGCCGCGCGTTTGCCCGAGCGTGAGCGCGCGCGCGCGTGTGCACCGAGCTGAGTACAGAGCCTTTGTCGTTGGATCGCGCGTATTGCAGAGCACGTTAGAAGCAGTTGTAGCAGAAGACGCCCTAGCCGAGGCTGAGGGCATGAGACGACACCGTCGCGCGTGCTCCCAGGTGGTCAGACCTCCCGCAGGCAGTGTTTTTGCTACATTTTCGCCCAAGCATCGACTTGGGGACGGCGGCCGTAGTTGCACTCGCTGTTTGGGGTCGACCTCGCTCGAAGGGCGAGTGGGTGAGCTCACTGTGTTTCGACCTAGTTAATTAAAGTCGTGAAATTCGTCAGCCACCTCCTGGGGGCAAAGTGCACATCCCGGGGGAGTTTGCTCACGAAAGCCACGCTTTGAAGTTTCACTTGGGGCTATGGCTTGGGTTCTGTACCCCGTGTGGTAGCTTCGCAGTTCAGCAGCTGGTGAAGCCGGGGGAGGTGTGTGATCCTAAGCTGGATTTAACTCGTAATCGTAAGGATTACTTGAGTCGTATCGAGCGGGGTCTCTGGCCGAAGGTCTACAGCAATGCCGAACTAGCCAAGAGAGTCCTGAAACAGAAGCAGTAATTATAAGCTGCTCTCAGTAGTTGACTTAATCGCTATACCCGTAACTCCGTAACTCCTCATCCTCCTCCTTCTCCGTCTCCTTCTCTTCCTCCCCCCTTTATCCTTGGCGGCGCTTCCGGCGCCGTTCTTGAATCGGTTTTGGCTTTCTACAGGAGGCACATTCGAAAATGGTTGAAAACCGTTTGGGTACGTGTTTTTTGGTTTGTGCTCTTTTTTTGGCTATGGCTGATCATTTTTTGCCTATCTTTTATGTGCCCTCCAACATCCGCCTGCAGGATGACATGCCCGACCTGGCGCTAATTACGCCTGGCGCGCTTCGCGCGCCAGGGAAGGGATCCAGCGCAGATCCAAAGAATCCGTGCAGAACTCTGACTGTTGTTGTTGTTGTTGCTGTTGTTGTCGTTGTTGCTGCTGCTGTTGTTGTTGTGGTTGGTTGCTGCTGTTATTGTTGTTGTCGTGGTTGTGATTTTGCTTGTTGTTGTGAATGTGGTTGTTGTCATTGTTGATGTCATCGTTGTTGTTGTCGTCGTTGCCGTCGTTGTCGTTGTCGTTGTCGTTGCGTTTGTTGTTGTTGGTGTTTTTGTAGCGGTTGTTGTTGTGGTTGTTGTGATTGTGGTGGTTGTTTTGTTGTTTGTTGCTGTTGTTGTTGTCGTGGTGGTGGTTGTTGTTGTTGTTGTTGTTGCGGTTGTTGCTGTTGCTCATGTTGCTGTTGTTGTTGCTGCTATTACTGTGGTTGCTGTTGTTGCTCTTATTGTTGTTGTTGTTGTTGTTGTTGTTGTTGTTGTTGTTGTTGTTGTTGTTGTTATTGTTGTTGTTGTTGTTGTTGAACATTATTTATTCTAAAGAATAATTATTGTTGGGCCCCCTGGTGCGCGCCCCCCCTGCGCCGCCTAGGCCGCAGCTACATTTTCATCATTTTCGTGAGGAAGCCTCAGAAAAGAGGGTGTGTACAGGATCCGGTTGTTTTGTTGTAATCCGCTTTCCCTTGCAAAAAACAATAGAAAATGACATTTCTTGTTCTAATATAATCAAATTTCAAGAATCCCTTGCAAAAAATAAGGTAAAGTGGACATTCGCGCGCGCAAGACGAAATCCTTCCAAAACCTTAGTGTTCGCAGCGATTTTAACATAAAAACATCAAAAAAACCAATGGTTTTTCAACAAAAAATTGTCAAAATCTCATCCCGCGCGCTCTTGCGGATTCGTAGGAAACCCAACACTTTTTAAACATTTCTGTCAAACGGGCTTTTGCGAGCAACTTTTTCGAACTTCTGCGACAACGGTTGCGCACCTGCCAGGGCCATCATCCCTGTCAAATAATACCATGCGGGACACATTCGTTTTTTCTTCGCGCGCGCACGCCGTCGTCGTCGGCCGCGGGGCCCTGAATAGTAGCCACGGTCGTCCGCATGCCACGAAGTGAAGTGTCCGAACGTCATAGGGCGGGAAGCTGGGTGTGGGTGGTGGCGAAGAGTCGTTTGGAAATTTGGTAGAGCTTGAACCGGCCCCCCCACAAAGTGGGGGTATTGCCCGCCTCCTATGAAAACCCTGGCACTGGTGAGAACGGAGTGTCCCCACGTGCTAGTAATTGTTGTTGTTGTTGTTGTTGTTGTTGTTGTTGTTGTTGTTGTTGTTGTTGTTGTTGTTGAACATTATTAATTCTAAAGAATAATTATTGTTGGGCCCCCTGGTGCGCGCCCCCCCCGCCGCGCCTAGGCCGCAGCCACGTTTTCATCATTTTCGTGAGGAAGCCTCAGGTAATTCGAGGTGATCAAGATCCGGTTGTTTTGTTGTAATCCGCTTTCCCTTGCAAAAAACACTATAAAATGACATTTCTTGTTCTAATATAATCAAATTTCAAGAATCCCTTGCAAAAAATAAGGTAAAGTGGACATTCGCGCGCGCAAGACGAAATCCTTCCAAAAGCTTAGTGTTCGGAGCGATTTTAACATAAAAACATCAAAAAACCAATGGTTTTTCAACAAAAAAATGTCAAAATCTCATCCCGCGCGCTCTTGCGGATTCGTAGGAAACCCAACACTTTTTAAACATTTCTGTCAAACGGGCTTTTGCGAGCAACTTTTTCGAACTTCTGCGACAACGGTTGCGCACCTGCCAGGGCCATCATCCCTGTCAAATAATACCATGCGGGACACATTCGTCTCTCTGTATTATGTATTGTATGGCACAATTGCACCATGCTGGGCACATGCGCGCCCCGAATAAGTGACCAAGTTCTGTGGGTGTGTACCCCACGCCAGTGTAGTAGCCACGGTCGTCCGCACGCCACGAAGTGAAGTGTCCCAACGTCATAGGGCGGGAAGCTGGGTTTGGGTGGTCGCGAAGAGTCGTTTGGATATTTGGTAGAGCTTGTAATGCCCCCCCACGAAGTGGGGGTATTGCCTGGTGTCGTATGAAAACCCTGGCACTGGGGAGAACACCACGCGTTCGGGTAAAATGATTGTTGTTGTTGTTGTTGTTCTTGTTGTTCTTGTTGGTAGGTGTTCTTTGAGGTTATGAATTCATGTGTTGTCAGTCCCCTTCGCTCGTTGGGGCCATGGTTTCGATGCTTCCGTTTGCTGTTTGTGTCCGTTGGTTGCCATGCTTTTTTCCTACCACCCCCCGCCCCCTCCCTCGGAGGGCATTAACTATACACCAACACCGATCCTGGCCAGGATCACCCTGGGCCCAGGATCGGTGTATACGCCCCCCTGCCTTGGGCAAGAGGGCATATGCACCGATCCTGGGCCAGGGTATCCTGGCCAGGATCGGTGTTGGTGTATAGTTGGTGCCTTCCCCCTCCCTGCTTTCTCGCCCGCTGCGAGCGCCCCTTGTCCTGCCCTTGCCGGGCCCGGTGCGGCGTGGCGCAAGCTGCCCGTGCTGCCGGCGTGCTGCTCCGTCCCCGGGGCCACGCCGGCGTCGTGCGCTGCTGCCCCACGGCCTACGCCCGGCCACCGGCGGCGGCGGCGCCCGCACCCACCGCGTTCGGGGAGCGAAGAATGGCCTGAGCAGTAGGAGGAGGAGGAGGAGGAGGAGGAGGAGGAGGAGGAGGAGGAGGAGGAGGGAGGGAGGGGGAGGGAGGGAGGCAGGGAGGGAGGGAGGAGGGAGGAGGAGGAGGAGGAGGAGGAGGATAGGGGAACAAAAAGTGGCATAAATATGAAAACTCGGAGGTCCGCGCGGGTTTCTCGGATCCGCGCTGGGCCCCCTGGCGGCGCCTCCAGCGCTGCCCCTGGCGCGCTCCGCGCGCCAGGTGGAGGGGGGTCCAGCGCGGATCCGAGGCATCCGCGCGGACCTCCGAGTTTTTCTGTTTGTGCCATGTTTCGTTCCCCTAAGCATGGCACGCTGGCGCCCCCCGAGGACAAGAAGGAGGGCGACGCCGAGGGCGAGGCGGGAGAACTCGACGAGGACGACGTCGACCCGTTCACCCTCGAGGACCCCGGGGGGGGGGGAAGAGGGGAAGGCTGGGGAGTCGGGAGGGCAGAGGCAGAGTGGTGTCGGAGGGGCGGTGAGGAGGAGGGGGAGGAGGAGGAGGAGGAGGAGGAGGAGGAGGAGGAGGAGGAGGAGGAGGAGGAGGAGAGGGGAGGAGGAGGAGGAGGAGGGGGAGGGGGGAGGAGGAGGCGGCGAAGGTATGGGGGAGGTGAAGCGGAGGCGAGGGGAGGAGGGACTGGGAGAGGAAGAGAGGGGACTGGGAAGGGAAGGGGGAAGGGAAGGGGAAGGGGGGAGGGAGGAGTGGAGATGGGGAGGTGATGGGGAGAGGGGGCCTGGGGAGGGCAGGGAGGGCCTCTGACGGGAGGGGAGGAGGGAAGGGCAGAGGAGCGTGAGGGGATTGGGGGTGATGGGGAGGTGACCGGGGCCTCGGAGGGCATGGGGGGGGGTTCGGAGCGGGGCGGGGAGCGGGGCCCAGTGCGGCTTTCACGCTCTCTGTCTGACGAGGGGGAGGAGGCGCTGGATGTCGAGGCGGCCTGCGCCATTCCGCCGGCCCCCAGGGGAAGAAGACGATGTCCACGGGTGAGGCCCTCTGGATCTCCTGGGCGCCTCCTGGGGCGTCTTCTGGGTCTCCCGGGGGCCTCCTGGAGCCTCTTGGGGGTTCTGCTGGGCGCCCGCGGGCGGTCACGGGGGGTCTTCTCTGGGCGGGATCGCTCGAAGTGTCGTTTCGAGTCCCCCCTTTCGGGCACCTCCTGAGGCTCTTTTAGGCCTTTTGAGCCGCTGCGGATGCGATTGAAGCCGTTCTCATCGACATTGGGGCGATTTCGGCCTCTCGTACGGGACGGGAAAATGACCACAACCATTGCTTTTCTTTTGTTGCCGCCTTCCAGCCAGCAGAAACAAAGCAGTGGTTGTGGTCATTTTCATTCAAGTTGGCACCAGGCAGATTACCACAACCACAGCTTCTTTTTCGGCCGGCTGGAAGGCGGCGCAAACAAGAAGCAGTGGTTGTGGTCATTTCGCCGTCCCGCATCTCGGGGCCCTGTTGGGGCTTCTCTTGGGGCCCTCTGGGGGGCGTCTTGGCAGCTTTTGGGGCCGACCCGAGGCAGCTTTTTATTTTTTTGCGTCCTTGGCGCGCTGGAGCCCAGCTTGCGCAAGCCTCGGTGGCATCCTGGGCACCTCGGCGGCCTCGCACCGTGGACGTTGAGGCTCCGGGGGCTCTGTGGGGCTGCGCCGGGGACCCCCCCGCCCCCCTGGAGGGTTTCTCCGAAGGGCTTCGGCGACCCGTCCTCCTTCTCCCCTCCTCCTCCTCCTCCTCCTCCTCCTCCTCCTCCTCCTCCTCCTCCTCCTCTCTTCCTCTTTCTCCTTCTCCTCTCTCCTCCTCCTCCTCCTCCTCCTCCCTCCTCCCTCCTCCTCCTCCTCCTCCTCCTCCTCCTCCTCCTCCTCTCCTCTCCTCCTCCTCCTCCTCCTCCTCCTCCTCCTCCTCCTCTCCTCTCCTCCTCCTCCTCCTCCTCCTCCCTCCTCCTCCTCCTCCTCCTCCTCCTCCTCCTCCTCCTCCTCCTCCTCCTCCCTCCTCCTCCTCCTCCCTCCTCCTCTTCCTTCCTCCTCCTCCTCCTCCTCCTCCTCCTCCTCCTCCTCCTTCTCCTCCTTCTCCTTCTCCTCCTCCTTCCTCCGCCTCCCTCCTCCTCCCTCCTCCTCCTCCTCCTCCTCCTCCTCCGTCTCCTCCTCCTCCTCCTCCTCCTCCTCCTCCTCCTCCTCCTCCTCCTCCTCCCCCTCCTGGGAAGGGAAATGTGAGGGGAGGAGAGCTGGGGAGGGGAGCGAGGGCCTCGGACGGGAGGAGAAGAGGGGAGGTCAGGGGAGTGCGGTGGGAGGAGGTCGAGAGGAGGTGCGCAGGGCCTCGGAGGGTAGAGTTAAGTCGGGCCTGTCCCTCTACAGGAGGAATCTTCAAAAATAGTGGTTAAATAGTCTGGGGATTATTTTTTGATTATTTTTCGACTTTTTCCTCCAAAATCCCTCTGGAGGGGGACAGGCCAGACTTAAGGGTAGAAGGGGGAGGGGGCGGGGTGGGAGGTGAGGGGCGCCGGGCTCAGTGTGGCTTTCACGTTTCCGTCCGAGATGGGGAGGTGTTCGGCGGCGAGCGGGGGGGGGGGGCTAGCGAGAAGGGGAAGGCTTCCGCAGAAGGCTCGGAAGTCCCCCGGTCTTCTGCGGAGTTTCCCAGGCCTTCCCCGAAGGCTCGGAAAGTTTCTCAGAAGGCGCGAGGGCTTCTGAGAAGGCCCGCTGCCTTCTCGGATGGCCTTCTCCTTCTCGCTTCCCCCCCTCGCTCGCCGCCGAAATATAGCTAGACGTTCAAGTGAGTGCTCCAAACTCAAGCAGTGTGCTGTTCGTCTGGTGAGGACGCCCCCGCCTCCTTGCAACCCGGGGGCCGCCCGCTCGGCGCTGCTGCTGTCTCTCGGTTCCGTCGCAAGCGCGCGAGCTCGTGTGACGAGTCCATGCGTGACGCATCTTTGAAGGAGACTTCCAGGCCCTCGCACCCGAAGTCACACGGGGGCGTTCCAGACAGGGCCCTGCTTCCGCGAGGGTCGGAGGCGTCGCGGTCTCCTCCTCGGCGGAAGGGCGGCGGGAGGGGCGGCGGAAGGCGGCGGAAGCAGGATGGCGGCGGCTCCGCCGGCGGAGGCGCGGCGGGAGGGGCGCTGGAGTAAAGGATGCGCCCCCGAGAGATGAACACGCTTTCGGGATCCTATCGTTCGCCACGAAATGAACAGGCCTATGGTTCGCGATGCAGATTTAATAGTGGATTTGACGTTCGGCCCTCACCGACGATTCGCACACTATGGAGCTCCAGCACACCCTCGGAAGGTAGACGCAATTCCTTTCCAGATCGCAACGGGTTTTGAAATACATAATGGCACATTTGGTCTCAGGGTTTCCGGAATCGGCCACATTATCGGCGGTGACATCCGAGCCCTACCCTCGCCGAGGAGCGATCCAGAGACAGCTCGATGGGCGGCAGGGGTTAGGGTTGGGAATGCGTCGAACACGTGGCGGAATCCGAATCGTAACCCCGCCTCTCATCTATTCAGGAGAGTCGATGGTTGGCGGGGGCAGGGTCCGGATGTCGCCACCTACATAATCATCCGTGCGTGTCGTACTCGGTCGTCCTGCTGCGTAGCTGCGTGTCGAGACCCATCCCGAAGATTGATCCAGCCGAGGCGCCCAGACAGTCAAAACAATCCAGTGAGGCATCCTGGTTCAGGTCGTGCTGACCAGAGCACATCTGCATCAAGCTCACTCCGTATTCACACGTGGCTCTGGCACCCTCTCAAAGATGGTCCTCAAGACGTTCGCCGCACTGCTCGCCTCGCTCGTGGTGCTCACGGGGGGCATTCGCACCGCAACCGGTCTGCTGGCAGGCGTGCCTGCAACTGGAGGGGAGTGCCTCGCGGTGGCATGGGACATCGGTGCGCGCCTGCGTCTCACCCGCTGCTAACATGCTCGCGTTTGTACAGCGCTGGCACCATTGGAGCACTGAAACCACCAGCAGCGCAGGGAACTTCAACGACTGGTAACGTCGTAGCCCAAAACAGAGACAGCAAGAAGCGACGCACATCCTTTTTTCATCAACAAATAATTTCGCACACTTTTACTACACTGCTGCAGTGACGAATGTGGTTTAGGGGGTACTTCAAGAAGGTGGTTTAACGCTGTGGTTTCATAGTGGGCTCAGAAGGAGGACGGGGGGATGGATCAAGGAGGTGGTCGCTCCCCTCCTCGCTGCTGCGCAGCCTTCCCCAGCCCCCGCCGGGGCCACACCGCGCAAGGGTATCCGTATCCGTAATTATCCATATCCTCATCCACATCCGTATCCGTATCCCCCCGGTCCCGCCCAGTCCTCAGGACCTTGACGACATTGGCAACGGCAAGCCGCTGTACGGCAATTTTGTCTACGAGGAACCTGTTCCCGCCCCTCGACTCCGATGCAGTCACGGGGGTTTGTTTTGGGATCCGGTGTCCTCATCCTCCTCCCTCTCGCCTCCACGCATGGGAAGAAGGAGGAGGAGGAAGAGGAGGAGGAGGAGGAGGAGGAGGGAGGAGGAGGAGGAGGAGGAGGAGGAGGGAGGAGGAGGAGGAGGAGGAGGAGGAGGAGGAGGAGGCAGGAGGAGGCAGGAGGAGGCAGGAGGAGGAGGCGGAGGCGGAGGCGGAGGCGGAGGCGGAGGAGGAGGAGAGGAGCAGGAGGAGGAGGTGGCAGCAGGAGGAGGAGGAGGAGGAGACAGGAGGATGAGTCAGGAGGAGGAGGCAGGAGAAGGAGTCAGGAGACCGGAGGAGGATGGAGGAGGAGGACAATTATGATGGTGGTGGTGGTGATGGATGATGATGATGATGATGATGATGATGATGATGATGATGATGATGATGATGATGATGATGATGATGATGATGATGATGATGATGATGATGATGTGGTGGTGGTGGTGGTGGTGACGAGGAAATGAGAGGAATGATGAGGAATGATGATGATGGTGATGGTGATGATGATGATGCTGATGATGATGCTGATGATGCTGACGATGATGATGCTGATGCTGCTGATGATGATGATGATGGTGATGATGATGATGATGGTGATGATGATGATGATGCTGATGATGATGATTATGATGCTGATGATGATGACGATGATGCTTATGCTGCTGATGATGATGCTGATGCTGATGCTGATGCTGATGCTGATGATGATGATGATGATGAAGATGGATGATGATGATGCTGATGCTGATGCTGATGATGATGATGATGATGATGATGCTGATGATGATCTGATGATGCGATGCTGATGATGCTGATGCTGATGACTGATGCGATGCTGATGCTGATGATGATGCTCGATGATGATGATGTGATGATGATGATGATGATGATGATGAGAGAGGAGGAGGAGGAGGAGGAGGAGGAGAGGAGGAGGAGGAGGGAGGAGGAGGAGGAGGCGGGAGGAGGATGATGAGGGAGGAGGAGGAGGAGGAGGAGGAGGTGGAGGTGGAGGTGGAGGGGAGGTGGAGGTGGAGGTGGTGGAGGAGGAGGGAGGAGGAGGAGGAGGAGGAGGAGGAGGAGGAGGAGGAGGAGGAGGAGGAGGAGGAGGAGGAGGAGGAGGAGGAGGAGGAGGAGGAGGAGAGAGGATGAGCAGACAGGTAGGAACAAAAGGATAAGGCAGGAGGACAACGAGGGGGTAGGAGGAGGTAGCAGGAGGATCTTCCCGGGCAAGCTGACCATCCTCTCATTCGGGGGCCTGCCGTCGGAGTTGCTTGTGGGCTGTTGCCACAGCTCCGCCGTGCTTTATTTCCGCAGCGCGAGGGTGTCAGGGCCGCCTCCCTCTGAGAGGGGGACCCCTGCCAATCTCGACTCCGATCCGGCCCGACGCGATCGGGCTTCCGATCCGGTCCGACTTTGCCCTGCCGACCCTGGTGTGTCCTTGGCATCGCTCGGGCGTGTGCATTTTTTCTCGGCGAGGGCCATCGAGGAGCATATGGGATCATCTGACGGAAGAAGCGCCGCGCGAAATCGGAAAACGCCCCGGGAATGGGCGTCCGAACGATGGCGAGACCCTTTCCGGTGCGATGTTCGGGCCGGTCTGGAGTTCGACCCGCCGATGCGATCCTGGTGCGGCCAGCCCCCCAGGCGCGAGGACGCTGGGGCTTGTGCAGCCCCCCCGCCAGGACTGGACGCTGCTGAGCCTGCGCTACGAGCTCCACCTCCTGGCGCGCCCCGCGGCGCCGTGCGCGTGTCCCTCGGGGCGATGGCCGCCTCGTCGGGCGGGGCGGCCCACGGGCCTCCTGGCGCGGCCCTCGCTGCCTGCCCCGACGCCGCGGGCAGTGCTGTGCGCCTCCCCGCCGCGGTGCCCCTGCACATGCCACGACTCCTCGATGCCCCTCCTCGGAGCCTCGACGCCTTCGCCCCCCTCACCTCCGCTTCGTCCTCGATGCCTCGATGCCTCGATGCCTCGGTGCCTCTGTGCCTCGATGCCGGCCCCTGGCGGCCAGCGCCGCCAGTGGGCGGGGGGGGAGCAGCGCTGGAGCAGTACTTGGGGGGGAGACACTCGCAAGAGGGCGCGGGGTGAAGCGGGGGAAGCCCGATGATTGATTGGCGTTCGTCGTCGTCGTCGTCGTCGTCGTCGTCGGCGTCGGCGTCGGCGTCGGCGTCGGCGTCGGCGTCGGCGTCGGCGTCGGCGTTGGAATCGGCGTCGTCGTCGTCGTCAGCCTCGTCGTCGTCGTCGTCGTCGTCGTCGTCAGCCTCGTCGTCGTCGTCTTCGTCGTCGTCGTCGTTGCTGGTTGGGCCCCCGGGACCCTTGGCCCTTTCTCAGGGCCAATAGCCTCCATCCCAGATCGTGAGCGGTCCCAGGGGCCAGACGCTGGCTCCCAGATACCCCCCATCATGCTTGTTCTGTTTGTTTCCGACCCTCCTGCGTGTCGGGTCCTCGTTTCCAATCCTCAGCGCCGCGCCTCACTCCGTCGTCGTCGTCGTCGTCGTCGTCGTCGTCGTCCTCCTCCTCTTCCTCCTCCTCCTCCTCCTCCTCCACCTCCTCTCTTCTTTTCCTCCTCCCCCCTCCTCCCCCTCCTCCCCCTCCCCCCCCCCTCCTCCCCCCTCCTCCTCCTCCCCCCTCCCCTCCCCCTCCCTTCCCTCCCCTTCCTCCTCCTCTCCTCCTCCTCCCTCCTCCTCCTCCTCCTCCTCCTCCTCCTCCTCCTCCTCCTCCTCCCCCTGTTCTCCTTCGTCATCCCCATCCTTGTCATCAGTATCATCCTCATCGTCGTCAGCATCATCGCCTTCGTGCTCCTGACCGCCATCATGATTCATATCACAGTTTCGCCACACGCCTTACACGTTTCGAAGCCCCCAAAGGAGCTACACCGCAGGCCCCCCCCAGTGGCAGGATCCGCATGCGGACTCGGGTTCATTCTGGCACACCCCTCCAATGTTTCGTGGTACCATTGGGAGCTCCACCGAACGCCCTACTGGCAGCCCCATTGGCAGGGCCCGAATGCGGACTCGGGTCCATCTCTAAACAGCCTTCACGCGTGTCGGTTTCCCAGCAGGAGCTCCACCGCAGGCCCCCGTGGCAGGGTCCGCATGGTGGCTTGGGTCATGTTGGTGCACTGTACCCCACCCGTTGGAAACAGCGGGGTCTTCAAGCTCTGGCCCAGCCCCCTTGTCTCCCCCCCCTCCCCTCTCCGCAGCCGGATCGGCCCAGGGATCGCCCGGACGAGTGCCACCATGCCGGCCTATGCCCAGGAGCTCGGGCTCCTCGTCCAGCGGCTCAGGAGAGCGGTGCAGAGCAGACGCTCGGCCCACACGGGCACGAGCCAGGCCGCAGGAGTGCGCAAGCGGGACCCGCCGCGGCGCCAGCCGCGGGCCACGCGGAAGGTCCACCCGGCCGCGGCGGAGGCGCGCCCCGAGCGGAGGCCCGGCCCGCCGCCCGAGCGGCGCGAGCGCGCGGCGAGTCGCGCCCTCGCGGGCCGCCGTGGCCCTCAGACCTCGGACGACGCCCGGTGGGCGGTGCCGAAGCGTGGCCCTCCGCAGACCGCGCGGCCGGCGGCGAGCGGGCGCGTCGGAGGCCTCGCGAGCCGCCGTGGCCTCCGCCTCTCGGTGGACACCCGGTGGACGTTTGCGCAGGAGTGGGGGGCCGCACGCGAGCCCTACCCCCATGCTCCCCACGATTTCTGAGGGGGACGGTGGGGTTCACTTCGCTCGGGAGCTCCCGGACGAAGTGACCCCCACCCTCCCCCTCAGAAATCGTGGGGGGCATGGGGGCAGGGTTCGCGTGTGGCCCCCTCCAGGATGGCACGCCGCGGATCACGCAGTCGCTGGCGAGCAGGCTCGTCGGCGGCAGCATCGCCGGCGGCTTCGGCAGCGTGGCCTGCGCTGGCTGCGCCGGCAACGTCGGCCGCACCGCGGGCAGGCCTGGGACGCCCCGCCTCCAAACGGTGCGGTGGCCACACCGCGGGGTGAGTCGGTGCAGTTGTGGACGACGATCAGTGGAGAGGCAGCATGTAGCCAAATAGTGTCCAGATGCCCAACACAAGTTTAAACCATGTCTTCAGCATGTAAGAGACATGATCTAAACATTTTGAGGTTATTCCCAACCATCCTGTGGTGTTGGGTCCTCGTTTTGAAGAGACAGCGCCCCGCGTTCCCGCCTCCCGCTGCCCCCTCCCCCCTCCCTCTCCTCCCTCCTCCTCCCTCTCCTCCCTCCTCCTTGCGTTTCACCCACCCATTACAGCGTTTCGTGGCTCCATAGGGAGCTCCAGCAAAGGCCCCAGTGGCAGGGTCCGCATGCAGTTCCACCTCCATTTCGGCGCACCTCTCACACGTTTCGTGGCCCCATAGGGTGCTCCACCCAAGACCCCAGTGGCAGGGTCCGCATGCAGTTCCACCCCCATGTCGGCGCACCCCTCACACGTTTCGTGGCCCCATAGGGTGCTCCACCCAAGGCCCCAGTGGCAGGGTCCGCATGCAGTTCCACCTCCATTTCGGCGCACTCCTCACACGTTTCGTGGCCCCATAGGGTGCTCCACCAAGGCCCCAGTGGCAGGGTCCGCATGCAGTTCCCCCCATTTCGGCGCACCCCTCACACGTTTCGTGGCCCCATAGGGTGCTCCGCCGAAGGCCCCAGTGGCAGGGTCCGCATGCAGTTCCACTCCCATTTCGGCGCACCCCTCACACGTTTCGTGGCCCCATAGGGTGCTCCGCCAAGGCCCCAGTGGCAGGGCCCGCATGCAGTTCCACTTCCATTTCGGCACACCCCTCACACGTTTCGTGGCTCCATAGGGTGCTCCGCCGAAGGCCCCAGTGGCAGGGTCCGCATGCAGTTCCACCCCCATTTCGGCGCACCCCTCACACGTTTCGTGGCTCCATAGGGTGCTCCGTCGAAGGCCCTCGTGACAGGGTCCGCATGCAGTTCCACCCCCATCTCGGCGCATCCCTCACACGTTTCGTGGCCCCATAGGGTGCTCCGCCGAAGGCCCCAGTGGCAGGGTCCGCATGCAATTCCACTCCCATGTCGGCGCACCTTCACACGTTTTGTGGCCCCATGTTGTGTTCCGCCGATGACCCCAGTGGCAGGGCCCGCATGCAGTTCCATCCCCATTTCGGCGCACCCCTCACACGTTTCGTGGCCCCATAGGGTGCTCCGCCGAATGCCCCAGTGGCAAGGTCCGCATGCAGTTCCACCTCCATTTCGGCGCACCTCTCACACGTTTCGTGGCCCCATAGGGTGCTCCGCGGAAGGCCCCAGTGGCAGGGCCCGCATGCAGTTCCATCCCCATTTCGGTGCACCCCTCACACGTTTCGTGGCCCCATACGGTGCTCCGCCGTAGGCTCCAGTGGCAGGGTCCACATGCAGGTCCACCTCCATTTCGGCGCACCCTCACACGTTTCGTTACCCCATAGGGTGCTCCATTCAAGGCCCCCGTGGCAAGTCCGCATGCAGCTCCCCCTCCATGTCGGCGCACCCCTCACACGTTTCGTGGCCCCATGGAGTGTTCCACTTAGGGCCCCAGTGGCAGGTTCCGCATGCAGTTCCCCCTCCATTTCGGCGCGCCCCTTCCACGTTTCGCGGCCACCAAAGGCCCTGGTGGCAGCGCCCGCACGTGGTTCCACCCTGCATTTCGGCGCAGCCCTCACGCGTTTCGTGGCCTCAGATGGGGCTGCACCGACGGCTCCTGTGGCAGCGTCCGCATGGCGTACCCGTGTCAATGTTGGCACACCCGTCACACGCGTCGTGGTCTCAGAGGGAGGTTCACCGAGGACGATACCCACACCTGCGTTACACACAGCTGCACATGGTTGGGCCCTTCGCCGGGATAATGTTTCAAACATTTTAAGCACACCTTTACTTCAGTGATAGGATTGTTAGGGAGTCCATTGTCATGGCATCCACAGCAGTACAGAGGAGGCCCGTGCAAAGGGAAACCCCGCTTGCCTCCAGGGTGCCCTGGGTTTCTTCGGTTTCGATGGTTTTGCGATGGAAGGCGTGACGTAGCTTCACCAGAAGCAGTGTGGACGTCCTGTGGTCTCAGGCTTGGGCTTCTCGTGGAAGGTTCCGTGTGGTCGAGCTCCTACTGTAGGGATTCTCAGGGACAACGTTGGGAGGAGGAGGAGGAGGAGGAGGAGGAGGAGGAGGAGGAGGAGGAGGAGGTGAGGGAGGAAGAGGAGGAGGGAGGAGGAGGAGGAGGAGGAGGAGGAGGAGGAGGAGGAGGAGGATGAGGAGGAGGAGGAGGAGGAGGAGGAGGATGTGATGATGAGGAGGAGGAGGACGTGGAGGAGGCGGAGGAGGAGGAGGCGGAGGAGGAGGAGGAATAAGACGAATAATAAGCATACGCAGAAGCAGACGCATACTAACAATAAGAAGACGACTACTAATAACCAGAAGACAAAGGCGAACACTAATAATACTAATACCAAGACTAAGAAGGTGAATAATAATAATGATACTAAGACGAAGACGAATCATAACAATAACAATGATACTACTAAGAATAACACCAATAATACTATTAAGACTAGTACGAAGCATAATAATACTAATCATCACACTATTAATACTCAGAAGAAGACACATACGAACAATACACATAATACTAATAACAATGATACTAATAATAGTTTTAATAAGAAGAAGCATCAAAACCATAAAAAATAAGAGACATACTAATACGACTAGTATTACGAATAAGAATACTAAGAACAATACTGTGAATATTCT